AATTGTTGGTTGTCCAAAATCTTCAAAATTTTTGGAAAACCAACAATCATTTGTTTAACTTATATATTATTAATTGTTGGTTGTCCAAAATCTTCAAAATTGTTGGAAAACCAACAATCATTTGTTTAACTTTCTGTTTTGCTAGTGCGCACTAGTTTATTATAGACAGTAAGAAAAATACAAACATACAAACAAACAAACAAACAAAACGTCATACCCGTTTATTTCCGCATTTTCCCCGGAAATACATCATCAGCCCACCGGCCGCCACTGCGCATGTCACAAGCAGCAAGGCCACAGCCAATCCCAGCGCGATCCTGAAACGAGGCTGGGCCCTGGTCTTTCCGGTTTTCTTACCCTCAGGTTCCACCTGTGAACAATGGATGCCATTAACATTTGTGAACGTCCCATTTTGTCCATCTTTGAGAAAAACAACCTAAAAGACTGATATAAGTCATTACTTTATATACATTATATATTTTTAGACTGAAATAAAATCAAAATTTCCGGTTGAGTTTTAAACCGGAGTCATTTGAGTAAGGTGAAACCGACTGCATTTTGAAATTCTATAGATCTAGTGTTATACATGTATGTAGATTCCTAGATTTCTTTTATGATTTTCTTTAACTTCGTGATCTTCTTTAAAGTTTAACGTTCTTCTCTTCCATGTTTTGTGGAGCCGACATGGCGGCCAGACAGACCCTGTGTACTCGCCCGCCACTCTACTCCACCGACGTCACCACGAACGTCAGATTCTGACTCAGAACTGAAAACAGACAAAAAGTGTACCTACTTTGACTTCAGGTTTCTTCTCCATGGCACGTCTTTTTGTAGATGTGTGTGTTTGACTCCAACAGCGACAAACTTCAAGTGCGTACCGTCTGCGAGGGTTATAGCTCTGGTATGCGCAGTCGACAACAGCAACAGCACCTCAAGGCATAATCATTCCACTTGACAGAAAAATCAGACATTTCGTTTGTTCTGTTGATCAAAGGCTAAAGTAGCCTCGAGCTTGTGCTTGTGATTATGCTACTTGTAGTCAATAGTGGGTTGCTGTCGTTTGTTACGAGAAAGTGAATTAATTAGTCTCCTAAAGGAGAGCAATTTTCAACATCAAGGTATTCACAGGGTATATCAAAAAGAATATTCTCTTCACCATCTTGATCAATGCATCTGAAATGACCAATCGCGAAAACATGACCTACAAATTATCGTTCTGACCTCTAAAAAGGTCGAATAAAGATGGCTTCTGAAGAAAAGAACACTTCGCTTTAAAATGTTACAAGACGTGAACATATAAATAATCCAATACCCTAGGCCCGTACGTTTTCGTGATTACTAGAGGAGTTTTACATGTATATACCTGGAAATCAAGATCAAGATATAAGAATTAGAAGTTTGTTATCTATTGGACTGTTAACACGTTTAGCTGAAGTTACAACCAGCGAGGTGGAAATTGTAAACAAACCAGCCCATACGCCAGTTCGGGGAAGACCGTCAACTTTAAAACCAAAGACTGGCATGCACGATATCATCACGAGAACGTGCAGTTTTTGTGTAGTTGCTGTTATCTCTTATTTTGTCTTAGTGTAGGGTGGTGCAATAAATAACGAGGTTTCTGAATTTTGGTTTTTATACCTTTATTCCACGACAAACCACCGTATAGCCACTCATGAATCTTTGATACATTAAAACGCATGAAAACAGACATATCAACAGAGAAAGACGCCAAGTATAAAGAGCAATTTGAACATGACAATATCCAGCTATGGTTACTGCTAATGTTTTCGTCAAATATATTAGGTCTGCACAAGCATGTATACTAAATACCCCATGATTCACAATGCAAAACATGTTTACTAAGATGTAATAAGGCAAAAGAGATATTGTGTTTTTACTACAGTGTATAGGCAATTATATATGATATTTTTGTCATTTCTAACATCAAAAAAGACCTATTAGATGAAGTTTAGCGTGCATATGATACAAGCTGCATTCTGTTATTGAAGTCTGCATTACATTTCATTTCATATTTCATTTAAATTGCAAAGTGTATAACTCAGAAATAAAAGATTATAATGATATCACTAATAATCAAAAGAAAGAAAGAAAGAGAAAAAGAGAAGACAAAACGACAATAGGAATGTCTATCCGCTATATATAAACCTCCACCACAAGAAACCTCTATTTTATAGCGACTGCACCACCGACATTAAAATGATATCACTCATAATCAAAAGAAAGAAAAAGAAAGAAGGAAAGAAAGAAAGAAAGAAAGAGAGAGAGAGTGAAAGAAAGAAAGAAAGAAAAAGAAAGAAAGAAAGAAAGAAAAAAAAGAAAGAGAAAAAGAAAGAGAAAAAGAGAAGACATAATGACAAGAGGAATGTCTATCCGCTATATACACCTCCACCACAAGAAATCTCGAATTTATAGCAACGGCACCACCGACGGCAATTAAATCGACACGAACACGACGACGACCACGGGCGCCATGACCAGCGCCGGCCGCGGGCATACGTACATCGTCCCACATACACAAATCTGAATCTTATCCCTCCGCCCTCCGGGCACACTTCTGCAAAGGACCGTCTGACACGACCGTGGGGTGTTTCCATCCTCTCTCTATCGTCGATTTCTTGTCCCAAGTAATCTGAAATTCCGTATAAATAATACAGTCATGTTCTTGCAAACCAAACTCTAATGCCCTAGAGCATACAGGTACCAATATATGATACAAGTTGATCAGAATAACGATGGATGAAATGTCTTTCGTTGGGGGCAAAATGCAATGAAAACAGTCGGCCCTCGACCCCCAAATACAGCATTCAAAAGCGACTGCTGGTTTACAGTTCATGCTGTTCTGAACCCTGCACTGTTGTATAGAATTGCCGTAGTTCAGAGTAATTGTTAAAGGCATGTTTGACACACTGTAATGTCTTTACCTCGAGCGTTCTCCTCTTGTACTCGGTACAGGGTAGCATCACGGCACACCGGGGGCAGCTGTGGTCGCAGGATGACGCCATCTTCAGAACTCACCGGTACGGACCGGTTCAGGAAGACGATTTGGTCCACGTCAAGACTGGGTACGTCATCGGCATCCTGTCAAAAAGACGTTAGATTAATAATATAATTACACTTAGTTCTTCTTCTTGGCTCAGGTTCTCTGCTAGAAAGTTCAGCACATGTCAGCTCGTTAGAACCTAACGTTGAACACAATTCAGTAGCAGATGATTAGGGATGATGGATCAGAAGAAACATTGCAGGGAAATTTTCGTTCTTTTCGTCTCAACTTTGTTTGATTCCATGTAAAGCATCACAAGATAACGTTAATCTTTTTGATGACAATTTCATGTTGAAAACCTCTGAAGAGTGAGACAATATATATGTAGTGCCTGATGATATGGACATCGTTAAGGCATTATCTTTAATTAATATGAAGAAAACGTAGAAAATATGAATCGTGAACAGGGCATAAACGTGCAACGAAACGTACAAAAAAACAGTTATGTGATACGTACAGCTAAAGCCTCCATCGCGTCCTCCGCCTCCTCAATGTCAAAACCGCTTGTCTGGCTGTCCTCTCTGTCTTCCAACAGGTAACAGTTACCTCGTTCGTACAGCACAGACAGTCCCTGTGTAACAAAAGCAGCCCCGTGATGCGATACTATAGCCATAGCTGCAGGGATTAGTTCACAGAAGTGCATGGTGCTTTTCTTTTTGAATTTCATTACTATTTTGTTTCTTGTGCTCTTTTATTCTATACCAAATGTGCTTTTAGTAATTGAAGCATTTTAGGGTGGCTTTTCTGTGAGTTTGTGCATCTGTTTTGTCCGGGCAGAGTAGGTTGACAGCACTTGGGTGGGGTTAGATTGACAGGAAGAATGACAGAAGGTCAAAAAGTCAAAGAAAATAGAGTGAACTCGGATGTCCCGGAATCTGACCAAGAGTGAGTGAGAATTAAAACTGGAAAAATGTTCAATTTCTTGTTAGTGGTTGAATGTTTCTGTCAAGAGACAATTGTTGCAAAAGACATGTTATTTAAAGCCCTGTACTTTAACTGATGGATAATGTTTTGAAAGTTACCTCTTTAGTCTGTATGATCTCTCCGTCCTCAGTTCCGACGTCATCACGGTACGTCACCAACCCGTTCACCCGGTCCACTTCCACCTCCTCTGTAAACGTCTGGCCGTTAACGGAGGCCTTTATGGTGAACTGTGGGTACAACAACAACAGAAAAATAAACAATTGTCTTTTATATTTATATACTTTATATACGCCTAAATTATTGATCCATCCATCCATCTCTTCCTCTCTCTCTCTCTTTCTCTCTCTCTTTATAATTGTTGGTTTTCTAAAATCTTCAAAATTTTTGGAAAACCAACAATCATTTATTTAACTTTCTGTTTTGCTAGTGCGCACTAGTTTATTATAGACAATAAGAAAAATACAAACAAACAAAACGTCATACCCGTTTATTTCCGCATTTCCCCCGGAAATACATCATCAGCCCTCCGGCCGCCACTGCGCATGTCACAAGCAGCAAGACCACAGCCAATCCCAGCGCGAGCCTGAAACGAGGCTGGGACCTGGTCTTTCCGGTTTTCTTACCCTCAGGTTCCACCTGTGAACAATGGCCGCCGTGAAAATTTGTGAACGTCCCATTTTGTCTATCTTTGAGAAAAACAACCTAAAAGACTGATAAGTCATTACTTCTTACTACTGCTAGCTTCTTTATTATATATATTTTTGGACTGAAATAAAATCAAAATTTCCGGTTGAGTTTTAAACCGGAGTCATTTGAGTAAGGTGAAACCGACTGCATTTTGAAATTCTATAGATCTAGTGTTATACATGTATGTAGGTTCCTAGATTTTTCATGATTTTCTTTAACTTCGTCATCTTCTTTAACGTTCTTCTCTTCTATGTTTTGTGGAGCCGACATGGCGGCCAGACAGACCATGTGTACTCGTCTGCGACTCTACACCATCGACGTTTCGACAAACGTCGTTTCAGATTGTGACTCATACTGAAAACAGAAAAAATGTGTTTACTTACTTTGACGTCAGGTTTCTTTTCCATGGCGTGTCTTTTTGTAGATGTGTGAGTTTGACTCCAACAGCGATGAACTTCAAGGACCGATCGCGCGACTGTCTGCGAGGGTTCTAGCTCTGGTATGCGCAGTCGAGAACAGCAACAGCACCTCAAGGCATAATCATTTCGCTTGAAATCATACGCTTTCTTCTTTGGATTAGGGACTTCTATAGCCTCAGGCATGTTGGTAGGATACCATGACCTACTAATTCAATTCTTGACCTACGAAGTGCAAACGAAGACGTCAAGAAAAAAAAAAAGAAAGAGAAAAAGAAAGAGAAAAAGAGAAGACATAAGGACAAGAGGAATGTCTATCCGCTATATTCACCTCCACCACAAGAAATCTCGAATTTATAGCAACGGCACCACCGACGGCAATTAAATCGACACGAACACGACGACGACCACGGTCTCCCCCGACCTGGCCTATGGGCTGATTTGTTTACAATTTCCACCTCAATGGTTGTTACATCAGCTAAACGTGTTAACTTTCCAATTGATAACAAACCTCTCATTCTTATATCTTGATCTTTATTTCAAGTAAATAGAACTCCTCTAGTAATCACGAAAACGTGCGGGCCTAGGGTATTGGATTGTTCATATTTTTACGTCTTGTAACATTTTGAAGCGAAGTGACCTTTACTTAAGAAGCCATCGTTATTCAACCTTTCTAGGGGTCAGAACTGTAATTTGTAGGTCATGTTTTCGCAACAGCTTATTCAGATGCATTGATCAAGACGGGAAGGAAAGTATCGTCATGATGATATCGTCCAGAAAAACCTGGATGTTACAAATTATTGTTCTTTAATTTAAGACAAAACATCAATTAACTTTCTCTTAACAAACAACAGCAACCCACCATTGATACTTGTAGCATAATTATGACGTCATTGTAGGTCAAAAATAAAATTACCAGGTCATGGTATCCTAGCAACAAGCTCCAGGCTATGGTAGCCCTGATCCACAGAACAAAGGAAATGTCTGATATTTTATTTTGCCTTGAGGTGCTGTTGCTGTTCTCGACTGCGCATACCAGAGTTAGAACCCTCGCAGACGGTACGCACTTGAAGTTGGTCTCTGTTGGAGTCGAACACAAAAAAAGTCTGATAAGAAGATACGCCATGGTGAAGAAATCTGAAGTCAAAGTAAGTAAACACTTTTTTTCTGTTTTCAGTATGAGTCACAATCTGAGACGATATTAGTCGAAACGTCTGTGGCGTAGAGTCGCAGACGAGAACACAGGGTCTGTCTGACCGCCATGTTGGCTCCACAAAACATAGAAGAGAAGAGAAGAAAGTCAAAAGAAGAACATGAAACGTCTAGGGATCCATATATAACAATAGATCTATAGAATTTCAAAATGCAGTTTCATCTGACTCAAACTCCTCATTGTACTCTTTATGAATATAGTCTAGCGTAGCTTAGAACATACGTGTAGAGGTTTGCTAGCTCTTAGGGACCGTACGATATTTAGCGCGGGGGGGGGGGGTCGTCTGAGGGTCGGGTTAAAAAATTTTCCTTGACCCTCCCCCAGCTCCAAAATTTTTCCTTGACCCTCCCCCCAGCTCAATTTTTTTTCCTCGACCCTCCCCCTGATGTCAATAAGTATATACATCGGAAGAAAAAATGACGTTTAACGTTACACGTATTTCCTGTATTTTGGGAACGCATTTTTGCTGTTTTGCTGGTACACAATTCTGAGTTTAATATCGCTATTCGGTTCCCATTTTGAGGTCTCTACTGCGCAACGCAAATGTGGTGTCTGCCCCGTAAATACCTAACGTTACATGTAGAAGACGGTGTTCGTGTGATTTCAGATTTCAAAGGTCCTTCGTGTTCGGGGCATTTTCCTCCGGAAAAATTAATTTGTAGGTCACCAAAAACGTTATTTCCCGCACTTGGAGAGGCAAATTTTGATGAGAGAACGTCTGAAGTTATTTTGTATCTGGAGAAAAATATTTTACCTTGACCCTCCCCCCCAGGCTCAAATTTTTTCCTAGACCCTCCCCCTAAGCCAACAAATTTTTCCTTGACCGTCCCCCCAGACGACCGGCCCTCCCCCCCCGCTAAATATCGTACAGTCCCTTAGTTAGTTCTATTCAACATTTTGTCAGACATGATACTAGTACCCGTTGAACTTATTGTGTAGAATCTTGATAGACTCATACTAGCTAGTAATCGTTGTACAATAAACTTTGACTTGACTTGAATGATACCAGTTTAATTTTCTTCACCTACATGTATTTGATATGTCTTAGAGCTATGTCTAGCTGGTTGCAATGTTTGTTTTTCTTCACTTAAGTGATATGCAGATTAAAAAAATCTATGGTAGCACTGGTCCGTCTTGGTGGTACAAAAAACGGTCTCGACCCATGGACCTTGCAAGGGTACTACAGGTAGTATCACTCCACGCGGTAACGCAAACAATATGTCCACAAGTACGAAGGTCATGCGAAGACACTAGAAAGTCTTACGTAACACTGACAGGCTTATAACCTTACAGCCAGACGAATACAACATGGAAGAAAGCGAGCAAAACCCCGAACAGCCGGAAAAGCCACCGTCCGAAGCGTCGGTCGGCGTCCGTATGAAACGACAGCTGACCCTAACCAACGGCGTAGCGACGATCATGTGCATTATCATCGGGTCTGGCATCTTCCTGTCCCCGAAGGGCGTTCTTCGGGCCACCGGTTCTGTGGGCTTGTCCCTGATCGTGTGGACTTTAAGCGGTGTGTTGTCCTTACTCGGAGCTCTGTGCTATGCCGAGCTCGGGACTACAATCCCAAAGTCAGGCGGGGACTACATGTACCTTCACGAGATCTTCGGACCATGGGTGGCTTTTGTCAACATCTGGCAGAACTTCACAATCGTATTACCCTGCGCGACTGCTGTGGTGGCCATCACCGTGGCCCAGTACGTTCTGTACCCGTTCTTCACGCCTTGCCCGGCACCGTACTTGGCCGTTCGCTTGATCGCGGCAGTTTCTATGGGTAGGCATGAATTTCTTTTTAATTTTTTTTATTCACTCTTTATTTCAGGTCCAAAGGCCCATACCATTACATAGAATTAAAAATCGCGAGACATATATACAGAGATAAGCGAGTAAACAGTGCGATACGGTATAGTGATGCAACTGGATATGATTTTGGAAACGATAAAATCATATCCAAAATCATATCCAGTTGCTCGAGTAACTACTTTTTGGCGTAAACAAAGCTTGAGTTTACTCTTGTCGCAAAGGTTGGCTTGAGCCTTTCAGTTCTTATGACCTTTACATAACTGGGGTTCTATCTGGGTGCCAAGTCGTAATCATGCATGAGACGAAATAGACGAAACACCTGTTTTACTTTATGTCGTACTTGTGCACCAAGCCAACTTGGCGAGTCTCCTCTGCTAGCCTCTACGAACCAGGGCGCGGCAAAAAGTACTCTCTAGTGGACCAACTCCCTCGGAATATACATGTTATATCTCTATTTGACCGATTTCTACTCTTTCCAGTCGTCTTCCAAAGCCAAATCTAAAACTACCTCATAGCACTCAAAAATCCTCAAAACTTTTCCAAAAATATGTCATTTTGACGCATTTGAAATAGTACAATTTTTAGTGTATTCATGTAAGCCATAGTACAAAATTTTTATGTTATTGAACTGTAATTATTTCTTTATTAATTTGATTCTAAAATATCTATTGTCGTAGGTCTGGTAGGGTTTGCCAACTGTTACAGTGTTCGTTTGGCGGCACGAATGAACAACGTTTTCACGTTTCTGAAGCTTGGAGCTCTCGGCATCATCATCGTCTTCGGTGGAATTCAGTTAGCTAGAGGTAACGATGCTTCTAATTCTGCAAATATACATATATACTTTATACTTTGGTATTGGTCCCTAAGATCAGTGTAGCTTGAACAAATGTAACGCTCTGTAGTATTGAAAAGTCCATTAAATATCTAATGATAAACAAGGCAAAAATGTCTGAATTTGATTAAAAAACAATCTTAAAGTTTCACAGTATTGGGCATGTCGATGGGCATATCATATGCTTATAGGTTTTTCTAAGTGCAATCCTAAGAACCAATCAAATTTACAGTTAGCTAGTGAATAGATTACAGAACACTTGTGTGATATCCTTGGGATGTTTGATTGTATTTCAAAGCAAAAATGCTAGGCGTCATCACTGGCACATGTTCACGAGTGAATCGACATTGAGGGGCGAAGAGGCTGTTCTACCTCTATTTCTTATTTCATTACCTAATTCAACAGAAATGCTTGGGTAGCTTATTACAGTATGCTGTGATAGCACAAGGCAATGCAACCCAATTCAATCCAATCTACAGGACATACTGACAACTTGGACCCAGCCAACGCGTTTGACGGAACCACTTCTTCCGTTGGGGATGCAATGGTGTCTTTCTATTCCGCGCTTTGGGCATACAGCGGATGGTAAGCTTGAAGATAGTGATGATCACATTTTGATATGTATCTTAAAATGTCACATGGACATTTGAACTCATATTCGGTGTAATTCTAGCCAAATGCGTATTTGTTTCAATCAGTATATGGACCCGGGGGCCCGGCATTTTTCTTGTACTGTGCTTGCGTATTAAGCTGAAACTGTGTCAAAAGTTATTCAATTGTACCCTTGTAATTCCACATCAAATGCAGAAAGAAGTTGTAGCGTTTTTTTTTTTTTGCTCCAGGCAAAGCCTAAATGCTGTGGTGGAGGAACTGAAAAACCCAACGAGGTGAGAACTTACATCTAGTTCTGAGTGAATCTTAGATTCTTACCGGTATATATATGTATATATGTATATGTACACGTAGTGTGCCGAATTTCAAACTATCCAGCTGGAATTAGCATGAAAGTTCATCTGAGTTGGTAAATACTCAAAAACGAAGATAACTCCGGGACAGGGGCGATACCGACTTCCGGCGAACTTTGACCTGGTACTGACGTCACACGTTGCTAAAAGTCACGTGTCCACAGCACTTGGG